GGTAGGATACTTTACCACACCAAACCAGTAGCAAGTAGTCTGAAATCATTGCAGCACAAAGCATGGCAGCGAATGGTCCTGCATTCAAACAACATTCAGTCTATATCTTTCTGTTAGCCTCGTTCATGGTCACCTGGTTGAAATAAGGGAATTTTTGTAAGGGAACAGTAAAAGGACCCCATTCATGCTGGGCTGTTTGCGCTTGGTGAAAAGGGTTCATCCCTGAGAATAGCCACGCGGCGGGGGGGAGGGGTAAAGGGATCATCCCAAATAGCTACACGGAGGGATGGCGGGAGGTGTGTGCTGCACATCCACCCAAAAACTGCAGCCCCCTCCTTTTAAATGGCAAACCCAACCAGCATTGCTTGCTATGGGAAAGAAGGATGCTGCAGTTTGAAAACATTCCCACATGTTATGAAGGCATTAGAAGCCAAACTCGCATACCCTTTGGCTTACCATGGCTGCCTGGAAACCGAATTCTGTTGCCCAGCCGTGTGTGATGTGTCACCATACCAGCAGGCGCTCAATATAAAAGGCAAAATGTGACCTTTTACCTAAAGCACATGTGCTGTCTGCTGTGAATTGCTTGATTCACTATGAAAGAGTCTCCCTTTTGTTCTCAGAATGTATCACCTTAAATTTTACTCTGTTTTTATCCCCCCACAGGTGCAAATGATTCTATGCTCCCCCTATGATCTCTGTCCCTGAGGTTATCGCAGATTAGAAGGCAAAAAAAAAAACCCGCACTTGCGATGACATGTTTTCCGAGCTCATGCAGTCCTCCCGCACGGATAGGGCACAGCTGAATGCATGGAGGAATTCAGTGGCAGAGTCCAGGAAAGCATTAAGTGACCGCGATGAGAAGAGGCAGGATGCAATGCTGAGGCTAATGGGGGAGCAAACGGACATGCTCAGGCATCTGGTGGAGCTGCAGGAAAGCCAACAAGAGCACAGACCGCCGCTGCATCAACTGTACAACCACCTGCCCTCCTCCCCAAGTTCCATATCCTCCTCATCCAGACACCCAAGAACACAGGGGGGCAGGCTCCGGGCACCCAGCCACTCCACTCCAGAGGATGGCCCAAGCAACGGAAGGCTGTCATTCAAACAGTTTTGATTTGTAGTGTGGCTACAATAAGCAATGTGGCCTTGTCCTTCCCTCGTCCCCTGCTCTCCCACCCCACCCCACCTGGGCTACCTTATCAGTTATCTCCCTTTTTTTTTTTAATTAATAAAGAAAGAATGCATGGTTTCAAAACAATAGTGACTTTATTTCTTTTGCCAGCTGTGATCGAAAGGGGAGGGTGGTTGGCTTACGGGGAATCAACAAAGGGGGCGGGTTTGCATCAAGGAGAAACACACGCAACTGTCACACCGTAGCCTGGCCAGTCACGGAACTGGTTTTCAAAGCCTCTCTGATGCGCAGCGCGCTTATCTGTGCTCTTCTAATTGCCAGGCGATTTGCCTCAATCTCCACGCCATAAACATCTCCCCCTTACTCTCATAGATATTATGAAGCACACAGCAAGCAGTAATAACAATGGGAATATTGGTTGTGCTGAGGTCTAACCTAGTCAGCAAACAGCACCAGCGAGCTTTTAAATGGCCAAAGGCACATTCTACCACCATTCTACACTTGCTCAGCCTATAGATGAACTGTTTCTTACTACTGTCCAGGCTGTCTGTGTATAGCTTCATGAGCCATGGGAGCAAGGGGTAGGCTGGGTCTCCATGGATAACTATTGGCATTTCAACATCCCCAACAGTAATTTTCTGGTCTGGGAAGTAAGTCCCTTCTTGCAGCTACTCAAAAAGCCCGGAGTTCCTAAAAATGCGAGCGTCATGCACCTTTCCCGGCCATCCCACGTTGATGTCAGTGAAACGTCCCTTGTGATCCACCAGTGCTTGCAGCACCACTGAGAAGTACCCCTTGCGGTTTATGTACTGGTTGGCAAGGTGGTCCAGTGCCAAGATAGGGATATGCGTTCCATCTATCGCCCCACCACAGTTAGGGAAACCCATTGCAGCAAAGCCATCCACTATGACCTGCACATTTCCCAGAGTCACTATCCTTGATAGCAGAACGTCAGTGATTGCATTGGCTACTTGAATCACAGCAGTCCCCACAGTAGATCTGCCCACTCCAAATTGATTCCTGACTGACCGGTAGCAGTCAGGCGTTGCAAGCTTCCACAGGGCTATCGCCACTTGCTTCTCAACTGTCAGGGCAGCTCTCCTCTTGGTATTCCTGCGCTTCAGACCGGGGGGAAAGCAACTCACAGAGTTCCAGGAAAGTGACCTTACGCATGCAAAAGTTTCACAGCCACTGGGAATCATCCCCTACCTGCAACACTATGCAGTCCCACCAGTCTGTGCTTGTTTGCCAGGCCCAGAATCGGCATTCCACTGTATCAACCAGCCCCACTGCCGCCCTGATGTCCCAATTGCCACATCCCGTGCTTTCAGGAATGTCTGTGCCCATGTCCTCCTCACAATTGTCCTTGTGCTGCCGTCTCTTAGCCAGGTTCTGCACATACTGCAGTATAATGCGTGAGGTGTTAAACAAACTAATCAGGGGGGAGGGAGAATCTTAACTTTTTTAACATGTGAATGGCTAGAACAGAGTTAGTACAATGTTAATGAAGTTAGCAGTTCAAATTCCGAGCAGATGTATTACTATTTCATTGATATTTTATAACTAATGCTGAGCTGAAAGAAAAGAGAGGAGACAACTTTGCTGCAAGTGCCTGCTATTGGTATTCCAGGAGATATGCATAGAGACTAAGACAAAGTGATTTGGGGGACATGTGATGCTAATAATAGAAAAGAGACTGTAGTCCAAGAATCAGAGAAGAGACAGAAATTATACTACTACTCTAACAACCAATTTACAGAATATCATTTGGATTGCTTTACAGGGAAATTTTCAACACAATGAAAACAACATAAAACCATTAATTTTAGACTTTTGCACACATGGAAAGATAGTACAGCCTTGCTTCTCTATGACTGAGAATTTTCATATCTATTTCAAATTTGGTTAGAAAGCTCATATTTCAGCCTATGATATTCCAGAATATGCATTTCTTACTCTCCTAAAATTTCTCATGATATAATATAATTTTTATTCTGGTGAAGGGCTAGGGAGGGGAGGAAGGAGAGAGATTGCTTGGACAAATATATCCATTATTTTATCTCAAGCTATAGTTCATCTATTAAACTTCCTTAAGCACTTTATAATGCACCAGTCTTAAATGTTATTGAATGGATACCAATGTTTCATACCATCATGACCGCAAAAAATTCTCTTTTCTGTTCCACAACAAAATTCCATGGATAACTTGCTTTCAGCGTATGCTCTAGCTCCAACAAAATCATAATACATTTATCAAATAATCTAACTCCCCATCTCCCCTTTCTTTCTGCCCCAAAAAACCCACACAAATACTTGTGTAATTGTCTATCTGTAGCTCTTAAAGCAACGCAGTATGTTTAAGTCTGGATTTCAATTGCATGTATGTACTGAATTTTAAATTAACAAATAACTTCTATCAGCAGTAGATATTAAAGGGTAAAAAAAGTTTGTACTGGTAAGCACTATCAGAAGACAAGTCATGCAGTTGAACCGGATAACTGCATGCCATGTTTGTTCAGCCACCATAGAAATGCAGTCATCTTACTAATAAGTTTTTGTTACATTTTAGTAATAATTTGCTAATAAGATCTCCCTGCACAGTTACATTCTACTTCCTAAATTTGTATTTTTATTACTGAATGAACCTCTTTTCATAATTCTTTTTCATACATAAAAATAACAATGTTCTGCAATGGTTAAAGACAAAAATTAAATCTAAAATTATTCATATTTTCTTCTGCATATTAAACACACATTCTTATTACATTTTCCAACTTTTTTTTTAAATTGTTTTAAACTTTCAAGCAACCATATTTAGAAATCATTTTTCTACTTCTTACATTTCAGTTACATCTGTGAACGGAAAGAATATTTTTTCCTGTATCTTCTGCTAACCGAAAACGAATCTCAAAGACATTATCTACATCCCACTAACATGATCTTGTTCAATACCTTGTCAGGCTAGATGAATGCACCCAGGGAACTACATTTTCCGGCTCCTTCTCTAAGAAGTTTATAAAATACAAGTTAATATGAACTTACCAACTCTATTCCCTGTGGAAAGGGAGTGTCATCCCAATCCTTCTGAGGAAACCTCTGAATTATTTTCCCCAAACCTTCTGCTGAGCCTGTAGAAAGACAAAAATCACAGCATGAAACTTTCCCCCATTCAACAAATTTACAAGTAACAAAACTGTAGCTTATGCGGTGATAAATATCACAGTGTAAACTATTACATTTACACATCAGGACAGACAAATCCTACAATGGTCTGAATGAAACTTGCGAGTGGATTTCTATTTTTATTAAAATAAAATACAATAGAGACCCCCATATAATCAAGAGCCAATTTCAAAATTTGTCAATGACATTAAAATGTTATGGATTATAAAATTCTTTTTAAAAATTTTGTAGCTCAAAAGTTTACTGGATTTGAGTGAAAATAGCATTTTTGTTGTATCCAGGGCATAAATTACTAATGCATAGTGAGATCAGAGACTCCATAGGAAGCAGAATATGTATTTCTTAGATGTAGGAATAATGAAAATGAAATAGGAGTAGTTTAATAATATAGCTATGTCCATGGCTTACTCTCAATCCTAAAAATTATTTTTGCCTGGTCATATTACTACATTCTACAAGCATCTTAACCAGCAGAGAAATTCCATTCCCCAAGCATTCTGTACAACTGAAAAAGTCTCAATTGGAGAGTCCATTACTTTCTTTCTTCGCCAATGATTTAAATGATTCATACATAAAAACTCTTCTGTTTAGGCGGCTTACTTGACAACAGCAAGGACCATTCTGGAGTTAGCCACTACATTGTTAAGAGCATAGTCAGTGCCTCCAGTTAACACCCTCCTCTAAGACGACAGCAGTGCCATCATCTTGCAGTTGGAAAAAGGATCATCTGCAGTTTATGCACAGGACTCAGATGAAAAAGACTTTCCTGGATCTGCTACTGTCTTACTTCTTTGGACAAGTCAATTAGATTAAGGCAGCAATTTTCAAAGGGACCTAAAAGAAATAAAATTCAATTTCCATGGATATTGAGCACTGACCTCTTTTAGGTCACTTTAAAAATCCCAACCTTAACTCATCTCTGCTTCTATTTCCCTAGTTGTAAAATGGGGATAATATTTTCCTATCTTACAAGGATATTAAGGGGCTTAATTTTTAAATTTCTATAAAGTGCATTTTATTTTCAGAAGCAAGATGCTGTAAGAGTGCAAAGTATTTCATATGCACAAAGACTTTTCCAATATTCTTAACATATTTGCTTTACAACAGGAGATGTAAATCGCAGAACCATTTGAATCCTTTATTTAACAGGGTCCAATACTGAAAAATATTTTAAATCTACATTGATCTAAAATTCAATAAATAGATGTGTTATACTTCCACACTATACGCTGGACACTTAACACCTACTTGCAATGTTAAAATCATGCTAGTGTGAAAAGATTAAAGTAAAGTATATCCTTGTAGAATTTTCAGAGAATCCATTTAAACATTAAGAAATAAGAAGAAAGGTGTTAATATTGGAAAGAGTTAAGAGTGATGTTCTTTGTGTCTGATTCACTGCAGATACTCAAACAGCAACAGAGAATAAATTATTATATTGTTTGTACTGCTACAAAAAATAATATTTAATTTGATACAGAGGATGTCTAATAAGTCAATTCACAATAATATTGTTTCACCTTTTATTGTGCAATCTAAACAGATGTGCCCTTTACACCACCACTGACGAATTTACAGTTTGAATTTGCTTTAGTTCTTTGAAATCCATAATAAAAGCAGCTAAAAGTTGTTTTGAGGCAATCAGGATGGCAATTTACTTTGCTCTATTTAGTCTATTTTAAAATATTTACTCACAAAACTAGTTCTACCACTGGCCTTCTGTAATCTGTAATAATTCTTGAAAATAGCATCGTAACAGAATATATTATAATACAGCAGTGACTCTTCCCTATAGAGAACAGCTTCACCCCTAAATGGGGCACAGTGATTACTATTCCTAGCCTACAACTTTAACTAGTATTCACGTACACAGGACAGCACATTGGAGAACTGCAATCAGAGTAGGGCAGAACCAGGAAGGAAGAATGGGGTAAGAGATGTGGCAGCCATGATGGCGAGTCACAGGCTGGAGGAAACACAGTTTAGAAGCTATAAGTGCCTCTGTAAATACACCAGCATGAAACTGGAGAAAAGCCTGTTGAGAGTCTTTGGGTTATGTTTAGAGACAAGAGCAACAAAAGTGATGTTGTGGTGGGCATCTGCTATAGACCACCAGACCAGGAAGATGAGGTAGACGAGGCTTTCCTCGGACAACTAAGAGAAGTTTCCAGATCACAGACCCTGGTTCTTATGAGGGATTTCAATCACCCCGACATCTGCTGGGAGAGAAATACAGCAATGCACAGACAATCCAGGAAGTTTTTTGGAGAGCGCTGGGGACAACTTCTTGGTGCAAGTGCTGGAGGAACCAACGAGGGGCCATGTTCCTCTTCCCTGTTTGTGAGCAGCAGGTCAAGAATTGGGAGGGGAAGTAGAAGTGGGTGGCAACCTGGGCAACAGTGACCCTGAGCTGGTCAAGTTCAGAATCCTGACAAAAGGAAGAAAGGATAACAGCAGAATATGGATCCTGGACTTTAGAAAACCAGACTTTGGCTCCTCCGGGGAACTGATGGGCAGGATTCCCTGGGAGGCTAATATAAGGGGGAAAGGAGTCCAGGAGAGCTGGCTGTATTTTAAAGAAGCCTTACTGAGGGCGCAGGAACAAACCAGCCCAATGTGCAGAAAGAATAGCAAATATGGCAGGTGACCAGCTTGGCTTAACAGAGAAATCTTCGGTGATATTAAACACAAAAAGGAAGCTCACAAGTGGAAACTTGGACAGATGACTAGGAAGGAATATAAAAATATTACTTGAGCATGCAGGGGTATAATCAGGAAGGCCAAAGCACGACTGGAGTTGCAGCTAGCAAGGGGTCTGAAGGGTAACAAGAAGGGTTTCCACAGGTATGTTAGCAACAAGAAGGTGGTCAGGGAAAGTGTGGGACCCTTACTGAATAGGGGAGGCAAACTAGTGACAGATCCTATGGAAAAAGCTGAAGTACTCAATGCTTTTTTTTTGCCTCGGTCTTCACAGACAAGGTCAACTCCCAGACTGCTCCACTGGACAGCATAGTATGGGGAGGAGGTGAGCAGCCCTCAGTGGTAAAAGAACTGGTTAAGGACTATTTAGAAAAGCTGGACATGCACAAGTCCATGGGGCCGGATCTAGTGCATCCGAGGGTGCTGAGGGAGTTGGCTGATGTGACTGCAGAGCCATTATCTTTGAAAACTCATGGCCATCAGGGAAGGTCCCTGATGATTGGAAAGAGACAAAAAATAGTGCCCATCTTAAAAAAAGTGAAGGAGAATCCGGGGAACTACAGACAGGTCAGCCTCACCTCAGTCCCTGGAAAAATCATGGAGCAGGTCCTAAAGGAATCCATTTTGAAGCTCTTGGAGGAGAGGAAAATGATCAGGAACACTCAACATAGATTCACCAAGGGCAAGTCATGCCTGACCAACCTGATTGATTCTATGATGAAATAACTGGCTCTGTGGCTATGGAGCAAATGGTGGACATGATATACCTTGACTTTAGCAAAGCTTTTGATACGGTCTCCCACAGTATTCTTGCCAGCAAGTTAAAAAAGGATGGATTGGATGAATGGACTATAAGTTGGATAGAAAGTTCGCTATATCGTCTGGCTCAACAGGTAGTGACCAATGGCTCGATGTCTAATTGGCAGATGGTATCAAGCGGAGTGCTCCAGGGGTCTGTCCTGGGGCCGGTTTTGTTCAACATCTTCATTAACGATCTAGATAATGGGATGGACTGCACCCTCAGGAAGTTTGCGGATGACATGGGGCCTGGTCTACACTATGAGTTTAATTCGAATTTAGCAGCATTAAATCGAATTAACCCTGCACCCGTCCACACAACAAAGCCATTTATTTCTAAATAAAGGGCTCTTAAAATCGATTTCTGTACTCCTTCCCAACGAGCGGAATAGCGCAGAAATCGATATTGTCATTTCGAATTAGGGTTAGCGTGGCCGCAATTCGATGGTATTAACCTCTGGGAGCTATCCCACAGTGCACCATTGTGACCGCTCTGGACAGCGATCTGAACTCAGATGCACTGGCCAGGTAGACAGGAAAAGCCCTGCAAACATTTGAATTTTATTTCCTGTTTGCCCAACACAGGAGAGCACAGGTGACCACAGAAAGCTCATCAGCACAGGTAACCATGCAGGCCAATAATCAAAAAAGAGCACCAGCCTGGACCGTATGGGAGGTATTGGAACTGATCGCTATATGGGGAGAGGATTCAGTGCTAGCAGAACTTCGTTGGAGAAGACGAAATGCCAAAACTTTTGAAAAAATCTCCAGGGGCATAATGGAGAGAGGCCACAATAGGGACTCAGAGCAGTGGCGCGTGAAAACCAAGGAGTTCAGACAAACCTATCAGAAAACAAAGGAGGCAAACGGTCGCTCCGGGTCAGAGCCGCAGACAGGCCGCTTCTACACTGAGCTGCATGCAATTCTAGGGGGAGCCGCCACCACTACCTCACCTCTGACCGTGGATTCCAAGGTGGGGGTAATCTCATCAGCCACACCTGAGGATTCTGCGGACGGGGAAGAGGAGGAGGACGACGACGACGAGCTTGCGGAGAGCGCACAGCACTCCGTTCTCCCCAACAGCCAGTATCTTTTTCTCAGCCTGACTGAAGTACCCTCCCAAGCCAGTACCCAAGACCATGACCCCATGGAAGGGACCTCAGGTGAGTTTACCTTTTAAAATATAAAACATGGTTTAAAAGCAAGCGTTTTTTAATGATTAATTTGCCCTGAGGACTTGGGATGCATTCGCGGCCAGTACAGCTACTGGAAAAGTCTGTTAACGTGTCTGGGGATGGAGCGGAAATCCTCCAGGGACATCTCCATGAAGCTCTCCTGGAGGTACTCCAAAAGCCTTTGCAGAAGGTTTCTGGGCAGTGCAGCCTTATTCCGTCCTCCATGGTAGGACTCTTGACCACACCATGCTAGTAGCAAGTAATCTGGTATC